TTGATTTATACTTCTGACTTTCTATACTTATGTAGACTTATACTATAGTGAAATTAACTCACTGTGGTTTCTTAATTGAATGAGTGATGCTATTTATACCTTTCAAAGATAACTGTCAAATACATGATCCTAAAACATGGTAAATTTAACACAACCATGTTTTTGAGTCAGTTCTCAAACCACAGTATGGTACTTGCGTCCTCATAACCTCTATCCTCATACAGTAATAATAGTACAGCATGTATTCATTAGAACAACAACAGGAAATCCTCACTTCCTAGCTAAGAAGAATCAGGGTCACAGTGAGAAGTCAGTGATACTCCTTTCCAGTCCCTGCTCCACTACTTCACTAACCTTGCACAAGTTTTTTACCTCCTCTAAAACATAAGTTTTCTTTTGTATAAAATAGGGGTAATTTTTATTTCCCAGGGTCTTTGTGAGGACTGAACATAATATATGCCAAGTACATGGCATATCACAGATTTTTCAATAAATAGTAGTCATTTTGTCATATTCAGGTAAACATCCTTGTCATGATAGAATGTATTATAGCTATACATTTCTTATAATTTTCCATTCTCTGAGAAAAATTACCACTCTCTGCCATGTAGGAGATATACAATAGTTTTGCAGCTGTGTGACAGGCATGTGCAGCTTGAAAACAGGAAGACAAAGGCACTGAGCCTACAGAGGATCCACAGGGGTAACTGAAGTTTTCTTTGTTCTTCTGTTTGGTTAAATGGTACCATCAGCTCCGCAGACTTTCCCTCAAGGAACCCGAGTCACTTTTTATGATTTAGATAGGTCCAACTAAACTAGCATTTTCTCTTAGTGAAAGGAAAAATGAAACTTGTTAAATAAAATCAACCTGTATCCCGTTTGATAATAATTTCATGATAATGCTACCAGAGAGCAGCAAAACCAGCCACTGTATCAGATGAAGCTTTGTGATGAGCGCTTCTAAAATAATTCCTTCCAGATCCTTCAAAATCTCTCCTGATTCCATTGTAAATATGATGGATTAAATTATGTTTCAGTACTTCTCAAAAACTAATAACTTTAGATGGTATTTTAAAATTTAATTGCCAGCTTAGCCTAGGAGATCCGAGTAAAATTTTACTTTGCCTTTTTTCCAAATCTTTCTAACCATAGATTCCCAAGGATACACTTAAAGTTTCTATCTAAACACAGGACGAATCGATGATTGCTTGAAGCAGAGAAAAGAACCTTGAAACTGGAAGTAGGAGGAGCAGATGTGAAATCCCGATCTATTGCTTACTAACTGTAAGAATTTGAACACATCAAATAACTTTAATAAATTTCAGTTTCCCCACTTACAGAAAGAATGTCAGTAAGATATCTTACAAGCATTGTTTTAAGATTATAGGTCTTCAATAAACTGATTTATTTCCTTTTATTTCTTCCTCTGAGTCCACCTAGTTTTGGTCTTGAATGGATTGGCTGTAATTTCAGTTTAGAATCAGCCACTAGAAGCTCTATGGCTGTCAAGGTTCTGTATGGGAGGTGGAGCACCTGATCTGGAGGATTATCCACGGCCTTTCCTCTTTCTCTCCCTTCCTGTTCACCAGTCATTTACTATACACTAGCACACCAGAGGGCAGGCAGAAAAACAGAGAGGGCACAGCACATTGCTCATGAAATCTTGCTAAATTGATAAATTAAAGAATTAATGAGTTGATATCAAATATGTTGGGTTATATTTTAAGAAATAAATCAGTGTGGCCAGACTTTAGGACAATCATAAGACTCTTCAGTGGGCAGAAAGTGGCAACTGAAACTTAATGCAATTAAGGTTACTTTAGGAAAAAAGATTCCAAATGTTATATTTAAAAATAACAGAGCAGCAAAGGATCCTGGGAGTGACTGCTGATCATTTCCCAAAGACATCCCAGTTTCCTGCTACAATAGGAAAAAACCTGCATGGTTTTAAGTATTGTCAACAATAAAGGAAATACAACAGAAGTGAAGATCCCATTCACAGAGAAGGCTGTCTGGAGCCATTGCCTCTAAAACTTTAGTTCTGTTTGCTCCAACTCCAGAAAGACATAATTAAACTGGAGGAGAGCCAGAAAGAAGGAGCCAAATTGGCAGGTAAGAGGAGAACTAAAAAGTATTAAAATTCTTAGAAAACAGTCGCAGATTCTTAGAATTGGAATCAACCTCAGACATCATATATAACAATTTCTTGTGCTTCCAGAATATTCCTGATAAATCATATATGGTTTAGTTATTATATGCTGGGGACTAACTTGAACCTTCCCCTTTTTTGCAGCCTACATCCAAACTATCATCTCAAATATATCTCAAATACATCCACTTCTCTCATCTCCACTGCCATCACCTTGGCTCAAGTTATTTTTCTCCCTCATTTAGACTACAAAAATAGCATCCTAACTGGTTACCCTCCTTTCTTCTGCTCCTCACAACCATGTTCCAACTTCCCAAACCACTACAACCAAAATGATTTCAAAACACAAATTAAATCACGTTATTGGCTCACCTAGTCTATTTCAATGATTTTCCATTTACTTTAGGAGCAAGTCCAGAGTAATAAACAGGCTCTGAATGATTTGGCTCCTGCCTCCTTTACTAATATCGCCTCATGTTGCTTTTCCTTTGGCTCATCAAGCTATATCCACACCGGCTTTCTTTCCGTTCTTCAAAATAGCCAAATGCTTTCCCATTTAGGATCATCACTTAAAACAATAACCACCACCGCCGCCGCCATTACAGCTGACATGTGTTAAGTATTTAAGTGGCCAGCTCTGTGCTAACTGCTTCAAGTGCATTAGTACTACTCATAAGACACTCTAGGCAGATATTTTCTTCTTTTTATTGTTGAGAAAACAAATATTTAGAGAAATCACTTATATAAATAAATAATTAATAAATTACATATATTATTTATAATATAAATATTAAAAAATAAAAATAAAGGAAGTTACATGGCAAGACTGGGAAGTATGTTATATTGCATATTCCAGGAATGTTTTTCATCTCCGCTCTTCCCCAGCTTTTACCATTCTTTATAGTCACACTTAAATGGCATTTCTTCAAAATAGTCTTCTCTCACCTCCTGATCTAAATTTGTCACACTTGTCACAGTCCCTTAAACTTTTCTTCTACGGAATGTATCACAATTTCTAACTATATATTTCTTTATGCAATTATTTATTTAATGTGTCAAATTTCCAATAGACTGTAAGTTTCATGAAGGAAGGGATCATATGTTTAATAAATGTGCCTGAATATAAACATAAACATCTATTGGATGAACAACTGAAGAAAGTAATCCAAACACTCTAAGAATGAGCTGTTCAGTCACACAATGGAAGAGTCTGAGTGTTAGAAATTCTATTAAAATATGCTTGCCTATAAAAACGGCTGTTCCCTTACAATGTCTATTGATCCTAGTTCTGGACTATTGACCAATACTGAGAAAGTACATTCTTTTCTCTTGTACAGCTCTTCAAATACTTTTCTAAAAAGCCAAAGACAGAGAAGACTGGCATATAAGGAGGGATAATTCCAAATTTATTTGTAAATATTAGAATGCTAGCATGAAAAGGATGAGGGGACATCCTTTGAAATTAGAGACTTAATTAAGGCACATTTCTAGAAATTAATTCATTACCTTCAGTAAATGAAGGTATTAAGACAAGAAATACAGTTGAGACTGCTATGTTTCGCACACTATATGTCAAAGTAGGTTTTCTAATTTGTATAAATCTAGAAACGAATAAGTCTAGTGACTCAGTTTCATTGGTATGGCAATGATCTTTTAAGATTAAATGGAATCTTTCCCTATTTTTACTTATAAGTAATGACAAAAAATAAGAGTATGAGAAATGTATTGCTGTTTTACTGCAAGACTAGAAAATATAATTAATTACTTAAGCTTACAATACAATTTTTTTAAGTTTATTTTTAAGTCATAGATAGGTTACAGGGAACTGAATATGTTCATTTAACCTGCTAAATGATACCACTTGGTTTATGACAACCTAGCAAGCATACTTTGTAAATAAACTCACTTGCCTTGTTTAATTTATGACTTTTTATATATGTTATATAGTTTCACTTGTTAGAGAATATTTTAGCTGGCCTTCCCTACTGTAGAAAATAAAATTATAGTTGACCCTTGAACAAATGGGTCTAGGAGCACTGACTCCTGCAGCTGAAAATCTGTGTATGACTTTTGACTCCCCCAAAACTTAATTACTACTGTTGACTGTAAACATTACTGATAACATAAACAGTCAATTAACATATATTTTGTATGCTGCATGTATTATATGCTGTATTCTTACAATAACGCTAGAAAATCTTACAATAAAGCTAGAAAAAAGAAAATGCTTCTTTGAAACTGCCACAAATCTCCAAAAAGTTTTCCAATATAATTATTGAAAAAACCTTCATATAAGGGGACAACTCAGTTCAAACCCACGTTGCTCAAGGTCAATTGTACTTGCAACACATTGATTCAAATAAAACATGAAGCCTCCTACTTTCACAGTAATGTAAATTTAAACAAGTCAAACTTTTTTTGAGTAGAGAAATTATAATATCCTTCCAATTCATTACATCTTGGTTTTCTCCAATTTTTAAAATCTGAAGAAAAATCTTCAAAATATGACTATTTTATGGTTTGGTAACTTGTACCTTCTTAATAATGAAAAACATTATGATCAAATTTAGGATAAAATGATCAGAACTAAAATTAAAGACCAATATTAGAAACAAGCATTCTCCTGAGATCATAAATATAATTTCTATTAGACAAAAAATATCAGGAACTGTGTTTTTCCTTATTTCATTTTTGTATAATAGCTTTTATGTGCAACATCACAAGTGAGTTTAAATTTGCAGTAAATAGTAATTTTGTATTCTGAATTTTATAAGCATATGTCATAGCCAACATGATTCCTAAAACTATATAGAGATGATTTAAAAAATGAAAGAGCATAAAATAAGCTTACTGTTTCACCAGTCTTTCCAGGGTTGCCTTGATCTCCTACTTCTCCCTGTTAATAAAGAATATGGTTACAAAATGATTATTTTTCCAAACAAGATTACTTATGACAGCATTCCTGTTATCACTTTTAATATAATTATCTAGCCATGATCTAGGAAAAGGCAAAGAAAACCTTGTTTTTAAAATGTCTGTTCATAGTATTTCTATGGAATATGGCCTTTTCCTATTTTCATTCAAATATCGCATTCTTATTTTTATGATTTTTAATCCCTTCTAATACACTTTTACAAAAAAATTTTAAAGCAAGTTATTTACTGAGGTATACTCTGGACAAGCAGAATGGCAGAGACTGTAGAAGATATTAAGAAGAATAAAAACAAAGCCTTTGCCCCCAAGGCTGCTCTATTTGCTTCAGAAGATAAGATAACTTCACAGTGCCAAGCAGAACAGAATACATGCCTGTATTTTTTTTTCCACGCAGCAGTAGTACAACTCCTTTCAGGTTCCCAGACCTGATTCGTGTGTGTGTGTGTGTGTGTGTGTGTGTGTGTGTGTGTGTGTGTGTGTTAGATAGGCTGTGCTTCTGACCATTCAGCTATAGGTTGGAGGTTCCCATGACCGGTTTGATTAATTTGGCAGAGCAGATCACAGAACTCAGGAATACACGTTTACCAGTTTAAAAAAGGATACCAGTAAAGATACATGTTAACAGTCAGATGAATAGATTCACAAGCCAAGGTCTCAAGGAAAGGAGCTTCTGTCTTCATGGAGCTTGGGGCCTGGCTTGGTCGCACATGGAAGCTTTCTGGTTCCCCAAGAATAGAAACTCTCTCCGATAGAGAAACAGGATGCAAGAGCGAGAATGCTCTTTCCCTGGGGTTTTGTGAGTGCTTCATTGCAGAGTCATGATAGACTAAATCATTGGCCACTGGCTGATTCAACTTCCAGTCCTGGCCCTTGGGTGGGGGTCCAAAAGTCTCTCATTAACATGACAAGACACCCATTTCACTCGTTAAGGCTGAACCTGAAGTGTTTTCAGAAACTGTGCCTGAAGGCCAGATATACCTGGCAAATATACATTTGGTCATCAGAATGACCAAATACATATTTCTTGTAACTCATTATATAGCAATGCCGCAGGTAAGCAGTAAGGGAAATCATGGGAGGAGGGGCCCTGTGGGCTGGTGCAGCTAGAGCTGGCTTCCCCAGGGAAGCTATGTATGTTCATAACCTTAGCTGCAATTCTGCAGTCTTGAAAGTTCTGAAACCATTTTTTACAACTCATCTGGTTAGCAGACTTGACCTAACCTGAGTTTAGCAGCAATGCTTTACCTGTTCTGAATAAGCTTACTTATATATCTTGATTTACTTTGATTAATATGAAAATTCTTACATTTTACCACAGAAATATTAATGTGGCTAATTATGGCATATTGTCCCATAACTTGCTGGTAGTGTTAAATAAAAAATACCATATTGAAAATCAAAACATTAATGACTTCAAATAATGGATTATGAAAGCATATTTGAGTTGGGACATCAAGAATAGGTGATTTTCCCTTGTGAAGAGGAGGGCCATTTTTGGTGGTGCGGAATGGCATGTGTATAGGATGAACAGAGGCATAGATTGATGGAAGGTAGAGGATTAAAGTTTGGGGTACCATACATAGTGAATCTGACAGTAATGTATACCTTTATTCACAGAAATAGGTTAAACCACCAGCTGCTCTCTAAAAATTAATAATTATATTGCAGTATGGAGTAGTAAATGTTAAATTACATTAAATAATATTGTAGCCACTAATGACATGTACCTGCTGATCATTTGAAATTGGCTGGTCTGAATTGAAATGTGATACAATTATAAAATACTAAGATTTCAAAGGCTTTGTGAAAAAAAAAGAGTCTCCTTAATAATTTTAATGTTGATTACATGTTGAAATAATATTTTAATATCTCAAGTCAAATCATATATATTACAAAAATTAATCTTACCTGTTTCTTTTCACTTTTTTACTGGGCTCACATCTGTGGTTCTTATTATATACTCTACTGGATAATTTTGATTTTAAGCACTGAAACCTAATATTCAGATCTTAATGCTGCCCATATATATATATATATAACAATTACATTACTTCACATTTTCTGGTGTTACAAAAAAATATGTAACTTGGAAGCAAGGCAAAAAAGTAGGTGACACATCCTTTCAGTGTCATAAAAAGGTGAAGGCTACCCAATGATTAGGGAATATACTTGGACTTACTGTATATTATTGGTTAAAGGACCCAGACTTCTTATAGATTTTTGTTCAGTGGAATAGAAAATAGAAAAGCCCCCAAAGTTATGGTCTACTATCCTGTGCCTAACCACATATCTTTACTAAGTCGCATAACTATTCAAATATAGATGCAGATATCAACATAGTCATGGTCATAGATATTTATAGATACAGATATGGATAGAGATATAAATATGTATTGCTTTCAAATGCTATCTGAACCAGTTTTAACATACTACTGGTTTCCTCATTAGTTAAGAGTTGATAAAAACTTTGCCATGTGTTAATTTTATATTTTCATGAGTCATAATTTTATCTTTTTGCAAATTATACTTTATAACTGGTAATAAAGTCAGTTGCTTTACCTTTAAGCCATCTGGTCCTGGTTCACCCGTATATCCCTTTTGACCTGGTTTTCCCTAGAAGAGAACATAAAATAGAGATATGTTTAATCATTCTCATCTTTGAAAGTTTCCTAAGATTTATGAAATTCAGATTATTCTATAAGATGAAACACTTCAAAATTATTTGAAAAATGTATTTCATTATACTCATTAGCCATTCATGTTTGACCGTCTACTTTGCACTATGCATAATTCTAGGGGCTGGGGATTGAGGAGTGCATTAAACATACCTGCCTTCATAGAATTTACATTCTAGTGAGGATGACAGAGTTTTTAAAGAAAATAAGTAAAATTTACAGTGCTTTAGGTAGTGGTAAATGTGAAGGACACAAAATTAAGCAAGGAAGGGAAATATGAACTGTTGCAGATTTTTTGTTGAGATTTCTTGTAAGATTTCCAGGGAAGACCTCACTGAGAAGATGGCAGTTAAGTAAAAACTTAAAAAAGGAATGAGCTATATGTCTGTCTAAAGGAAGAAGATTCCAAGCAGAGAAAAAGAGCATGTGCAAAGGTCCTGACACAAGAGTGTGCATGGCATGTTGGAAAAATCACAAAGAATCAATGCAGCTGGTGCAGAATAAGTGAAGGTCAGCAAAGAGATGACATAAGCTTCTTTATATAGTTTGAAAGTAAAGCATCCTCAAATTGATGACAGGTCATGTGTAGAATGTGAAAGAAAGAGAAGAGTCAAGAATGAACTCAAAAGACCAAATGAAATGGGGAAGACTGTGGGAGGAATAGGTGAGGGTTACCTGAAAGCTCAGTTTTGGCAGTGGTTTGATAATCTTGTTAAGATATCTGAGGGGAGAGACCTTGTGGTAGTTACACAAGCCCAGAATTCAAGGAGTAGAAAGTTCTGCTTTAAACATATAACTTGGGAAATCAACAGGATTTTGATAGTATTTAAAGCCATAAGGCCAGACCAGCTTATCTAGACAGTGAGTATAAGTAAAAAGGAAAAGAAGTCCACAAACTAAGCCCTGAGGCCCTCCAAAATTTAGAATTTGAAGAAATGAGGAAAATATTCAAATTTACTGTCAGAATTTGGAGGAAGATCATGCAAGTCAGGAAAGTGTTCTAGGAGGATCACATTAAATTCTGAGGAATATAATAAGTATTAAGTAGTATGAAAACTCAGAAATGACCACTGAATTCAGCAACATGAAGGTCACTGATGACCTTCATAAGATCACTTGTTTTAGACTGATAGGGACAAGAATACTTTCAGCAGATAGGGTGATGAGAAAAATTGGAAGGAATATGTATAGACAACACTTTAAAGAAGCTTTGTAGTAAAGGGAAGGAGAGAAAGATAACATCTGGAAGAAAAACCAAGGTCAATACAAATTTTGTTTTGTTTTGAAGCTGGAAGAAATAATAGCATATTTATATGCTGATAGGATTGATCCAGTAAAGGGAACAAAATTAAGATGCAGGAGAGACTGGGGAGGATTGGCAGATCAATGATCTTCAGTTGGTAAGAGGATAATAAATGTAAACAAGTGGAACTTTTGGCCTTAACTAGAAAAATGGCCTATTCATCCACAATAACATGAGAGAAGGCAGAGTAAAAAGTACAGATACAGGATGTGGTAGAAGTGATGGTAGAAACTTGAGCGAAGTTCCCTACTGATTTTTAGAATCTTCTAAAGGAATAAGGAACCAAAATAAAAGGCTAAGTCTGAGGATGACAGAGAGGTAAATGGTGTTGAGGAGAGAGAAATATAAAATAATAATTTAGAAAAGTAAATAGGTATTGAAATAGAATCCAGAATGTAACCAAAAGGATAATTGTGCTGTTTTAAGCATGATGAGGGATGTGAGGTCATGAGGGAGTTAAGGAATAATGGAATGGTGATAGGATCAATGAATTGAAATTCCTACCAGTACAGGTGAATTGGGTTATGAGACAGAATGTATCAGAGAGAAAGGCAATGATGGATGGTGGTGAGGGAATGAGAGGTTGGAAATTGAAAATAAGGAGTGATTACTGTTACTGGGAATGACAAGGTAAAGGGTATGACCACAGCAATTAGCACCTGAAGAGAGGAGGGTAAGATCATAGAGGAGAGGTAGTATCCTGGATACTGGGTAGACTGATTTATAGTATGTGGTTTCTAATATTCAACAACAGATATCTGATGATATAAATTTTATTAAGGAGATCATTGTGCCTCAATCAATGTGGGACAAATTCAAATCCACGTGTAGAAAAAGTGTGGGGAGAGACTGTGAAATAGAACACTAATTTTTAATATCTACTAGGCATTATAGATTTGAATTCAAGTATTCCTACCCATGAAAATATACTCTCATGCTTTTCTTTCTTGAAATACGATAAAACAAAACAATCCTCTGACTCTCATTCTGTTTTGGCTAAATATAAAAACTTGAGCTACTTAAAATTATATTTAGAACTTATATCCAAAGTTATTCTAATATTGCCTATGACTTGTTTGAAACTGTCCAGTGGTTTCCTTTCAAGCACAAAGTAAAGCAAATAATCAAAAGTTATCTATTATTGTTAAATATCAATTGTTCTCTAATCAATTTGCATATACAGAAGAAATATAATTAAGAGTTTAAATTATTACATTTGTCTATGACATTTACAAAAAAATTTTTAATAATACATTTTATTGACACTATTTTGGGAAAGCCCTGGCAAGAATATTTCTTTCATCTTAGTAATGTCATAGCACTCCAGTATATTAAAAAATAGTTATATGCCATATCTACATTTTAGAAAGAATCTCACTGGAATCTGGTATCAGCATGTTTATAATAATCTCTTGGAAATGAAGTGATTCAGAGCATCAGTACTGGAGTCATCAATTCTGGTCCTGTTTAAGTTCTGTCATACTAGGTTTATCTTGAGCACATTATACTTAACCATATAATATTACAGGCTTATTTTCAATCTAAAAAATGCAGACAATATCTCACAGAGTTGTTTTCAGGATTAGAGATGATTCATGTGACATATTTAGAACAACACTAGTGCTAAATTGACCTTCAACCAATAGTAGCAACAATAATAATAAGTATTGAGACTGAGTAGGTAAGAGGTGAACATGGTTCTCCTGCTTTCTAGAGAAGTAATTTTAAATAGGATCAATTATTAAGGGCTCAAATAACAACAGTTTTTTCTTATATAACTCACCTCACAAAAAATGAAATAAAAATTCTTCTTTTTCTTTCAATGGGATAGTAGCAGTATATCTGCTAGTGAGGTAAAGGTGTAAAAGAAAGAATTACTGTCCCCTTAAAATGGAAAAGTATTCCAAGACCCTGTATGTTATGATGTTCTTCAAGGAAAAAGAATGAGACGTATTTCATGTGAATAAACAGCTCTTAAAATAAATGTGATGCACACACCTTAATTACTTCATGATAATGTAAACTTTGGTCATGTGCACCCAAATTCCTAAAGAATTCATTTTCAGAACTTAAAAACAAGTAATTTATATATTTCTACACAATACTTTCTAAAGAAAAAGTTGGCAGAAAATACATCTTATTAGCTTTCCAGAATTTTACAGACACATTTATAAAATAGAAATTCCTTGAATATTACTAAAATGGCTAAAGTATCTAGCTTCATGTTATATTTTGAAAAACTTTATAAATAATCTGCACAAATTACTAAGACCAAGAGACCACTAAAGAACAAGTAAATATGTAATAGGCACAATATGATTTAAAATATCCTGGAAAATTCCAATTATATGCCTACTTTATTTGGGGGGATCATATGGCTATAGTTTGTCTTTTGCTATAATTTTACTATTAAAAAGTTATAGAACAGTTGTTCTGATACCTACTCTTGGCCCCAGTTCTCCAAAGGGTCCAATAGGTCCTTCTTCTCCCTTAAAGAAAATCAGAACACATAACAGCCTAAAATAAGTATTTAAAAATGTAAGCCCTTATTCTATTTATTTTGAAATCTGAAGCTCTTTCTGAGATGTGATGAAAGTAATGCTTTTTTCCCCCTTGTGTTTTAGAACTATATCATCCCATAACATTTTGGTTTTTGTGTGTGACAAACCCACATCTACCCAGAGGGGGAACATATATTGTTGGATTATTTTTAAAATGGTAGATGATAGAAATTATATAGAGAAAATTAATAGTGATAAGAGTGAAAGTGATTAGGGTATCACAAATCAGGATTAGGAATCACAGAAACCACAAATTAATGATAAACTTTACTTCTTTGGACTCAATCTCCCTCTGACATAGAGAGAAAATTAAGTTCTTAAAAGATGGAAATAAATACACTCAATGCAATCAATTGGTATATTAAAAAATTATTGGTACAGAACATGTTTGCTCTTGGCCCATTTTGATACTTCATTCATTCACAGACATGTTTTGGGCCTTAGCTCTGGTTTAAGCCTTAGAGATAAAAAAGGTATATCAAGTCCCAAGCAAATGGAGCTTAATGTCTAGAGTTTCCTCTTGACTAATTTACAAGTTCAATATTCTTGGGGTCAAATCAGTTATAATGTTATAAAATATAAAATCTTGTACATTCTTCTAAGGATAAAAAACTGTAAGGGTGAATAGAGAATAGAACATAGAAAAATACAGAATTTTTATACATTATTCTCTAAGAAAATAAAAAAAGTAGTGAATATTTTTACTCAATGTATGTACATATTTTCTAAATATACTGATTTTTCACCTTTGAATAAAAGTTGATTTTATCTCATCTGATACCTTATACTATAGTCTTCTCTAGATCACACATTCCATTTTATTTATTTGGTTAAAAACATTTTGCTCAATTCAAAATTCAATTTAAATATAATTGATTGGGTCACAAATATAAAATAGACACTAAAGGTAAATATAGATTCTAGTACATATGAGTGATAATCTAGGCTCAGATTCTTGACATTTCATGGTGACCACTGACATAAATCACTACATGAGTTCAGAACATTGTAAAATGATTCCAAATCCCATTTCTTAACTGCCAAGATAAAACTGGTAGCTTGAAATCCTCCATGACAAAAATTGTCTACACTAAAGCATGTTTCTTTAAGTAATAACTAAAAAGGGAAATTTGAACTAAAAAAATTGCTGATTGGATATTTATTTCCTCCATACCTGAGTTCCTTTAACACCCGGAGGTCCAGGAGGCCCTCTATTTCCAAGGAGTCCCTGTAAAAACAATATAAGCACATGCAATTAAAGTTTTTTTTATTAATTCAGTTAACATTTTTTCTATTAGCATTAATTTGGAGATAGACAATACTATTTGGTACCATTCTTTTCCCATTAAGAAGTTATCAAAATGGGGTGGGAGGGTAGGTAAGCAGAATATGATAGGTCATTCAAAAAGTTAGGAAACACAGGATAATCTTATTTCTAAAGAGTATGTTAATGTTCAGATAATCTGCCTGGTATGTTACTCTTCAGCCAGATGCCTTTTCAGAAAAAGCACTTCTAAATTTAAAGCAATGGGTCCAATTGTTATTCTGATACTAGTAAAATAAATACATAAGAGTGTCTACAAAATCTGAAAACAGATGGAGGAGACATATAGTGTTTTAATATCTGTTAATAAACTAGCAGAGTCAGGACCACATTATTCATACAAAATGTTCTTCAACTCATTTCCCTTCTTGATACAGGCTGGTAGAGAGGGCATTTGCAGAGGATAGTAACAATCTCAACATCACTAGGAATTTCAGTATTAAAATAAATCTTTTGTTAATCAAAATGCATGTTGTTAAAAACCAAATACTTTCTGAATAAAAAAATTTTTTAAGTAACTTAAAAAAAATCTTCCTATTTCAGAAAACACCCTATAGCATTTATTCAATGTGGCAGCATTTTTTTATTTAGTTCTATTCCCCAAACCATGCATTATATTAGCAAAATTTAATTAAATCTCTTTTAAGAACTAGCTTTTGCATTATTGCTTTTAGTGATTTATAGTCACTAAAAGGTTTTATCTAATTTTTAACTGTAATAAATAACTATGGTAAATAGCAGATCTTTCCTTCATATTATATCTTGTTCAGTCATTGCTATGTTCTAACAATCAAAAAATGAAAATTCCTGGTCAATTTAAGAACCTACAATATATTATTATGTACATAGCACCATTCAAGAAACTGCATCACTTTAGGCAATAACTTAACATTTTTGTACAGCTTTATTATCTTTAATAGGAAGACATGTATTAGATTATTGAAATGGGCATGTTGTTTTATATGAGCCCAACATACATCTCTTTATCAGACAAAAGCATCCTAATTTTCATTAGGGAATCACTCTTTCCTCGGTTTTACTACCTGTGGTTTGAAGGGAGATGACTCTGTCCCTGACTAAATTTAAGGGTGGAGATGTGACATGAACCTAAGTTGGCATACTGTGCACTTCTAGAAATATGATAGTGGTTGGTTCACTAATGAGCCAGGAACCCAAATTAGTCTAACTGAAGCCAATTTTGGACTGCAGTGGAACAAATGGGGGGACAGGATAACAACAAAGATGATATAAAACTAAACAGCAAGAAACCATGAAAGGAGGGGCCTGAGAAAGAAATCAATAAATTTAAAAAAGGAGAGAGTAGGTGGAATTGAGTTCTAATGATACTATTTGGGGTTATGGATTCAGTTATACTAGAATTTCTAAACTTTTCTCATATTTATATAGTTATATTTAAGTTGTATTTCCATTACTTAGAACTGAAAGAATCCTAACTGATAAAATAATTTCTAGCTCTTTTGAGTAACCAAAATACTCTTCTAGATATTTCTGTGTTAAGTTTTAGGTGTTTAGACTGACTGGAGGTATGGAATCATAATGGTGTGATATTTAAATTCCTCCACAGGACAGGCAATGTTTAATTAATTAATTTATTTTTCATTCCTTTTTCTCATCCAACAATTATTAATTTTCAACTATGTGTAAGGTCCAATGAACAATACAACATTAGGCCATAAGTATACAAATACAAATGAAACATAGTCCCTATTCAAAATGAATTAATAATTTATTATGGATGATGTCACTTTAAAATAAAAATGAGTAAATAAGTGTTGTAATAGACATAGCAGTAAAGCAAAGTATAATAGGGAAGTTAGGTAGCAAAATCTTTTCTGAGGTGTTGAGAAATTTTTTAATACATAAAATAATTTTGTCTTGAGTTATGATAGGCTAATATAAGCTTGTAGCTAAAAATAAACACACACCAAAAACTTATAAACAACTACTGGGACTCAAAAGCCATTGATGAACATACAGTTTATATTAAAGTGTATGTGTAAGAAGCTGGCTCAGCTCCATATTCAGGGTGAAATCAGAGAGGGCTGTATGTTCAGAGGGCACTATTCTCTCATTGTAGTTATTTACCATAGTGGAGTGGCACTACTGACCAAGAAACAAAATTAAATCTTTCTGGAAAGCAGATAAACCAGTTTCCTTTTTCCTTCCCCTTCCAAGACCAATTTGTGATCTTATAAAAGAGTAATTAAAGCTGAATTGAGAAAAAAACCAAACTATTTATATGCTATTTTCAAGAAACATATCTAAAACAAAAATATAGAAGACTTAGAGTTGAAAACTGAAAAAAGATATGCAAGAGATTTATCAGTCCAAAGAGAGTTAAAATAATTATATTAATGTTAGGTCAAATAGCCTATAAGGTAAAAAAGATTATTAAAGTTATGAGGATCATTAAATGATAAAATGCTATGTTCACCAGGAACAGATAAAAACTCAATTTTTATGCATCTAGTAACATAAATTGCAAATATATAAAGGAAAACTGAGAGAAAATTAAAGACAAATTCAGAATACTACTATCAGAGAAGGAAATTTTAAACTACTTCTTAGAAATCAGTAGGTCTAGCACATAACAATCAGTAGGAATAGAGAAGACTTAACTAACAAAATTAACAAACTTGATCTAATAGCCAAATGTAGAACACTGAATCCTCAAATTGGAGTTTGCAAAGTCTTTACAAGCACCCAAAATATTTTTTAACTTAAATTATATAGAATCTGAAGTTGGATGTGGATTTGAATTCCAGCTCTGAAACTTGTCAAGGAATTATTTATGTTTCTTTATTCATAGATTGATACCACCAGCATCACAAGGTTGTTGCAATAAATAAAATGATGCTTTTATAAGTTTCATTTATGTTATATGACAATGATACTATTATAAGTTATAATCAAATATACCTGGGACTCAATAAATACTAATTTCTTTCTCCTTATGCATTGCACATTGATTAGTGTTTGCAACAGTTTCTGAATCTTCCCTATACATTAACCACATTCATATTAATAATTTACTTTTATTATTCTTCCTAAAACATCTTTTTCATCATCTTGCTCCCAAAATCTTCCATAGAGTAAAAGAGAAGAATTTCATATGTTTCTGAAGTTATCAGCTTAAAATAGATTATTATAGCTGTTTTTTCTAAGCCCCATGGTTAACCACAAATAAAATATTTATAAAAGATACACAAAATAATAAAGGAATAAAAGCACATCACTACAAAGAAAATCAACAAAGCATCAAGACAGGAGAGAAAAGGAGGCACAAAAAAGCTACAAGACAAAAAACAATTACAATTAACAAAGTGATAATAGTAAGTACATCCTTATTAGTAATTAAACATAAATAGACTAAAGTGTACAATAAACAGACTTAAAGAGTGACTAAGTAGATAAAGAAAAAGATTCAACTATATGCTATCTATAAGAGATTCACTTTGGATTTAAGAACACACATAGAATGAAAGTGAAAGATGGAAAAATGTATTCCATGCAAATGATAACCAAAAGAGAGCAGGGGTCACCCTACTTATGTCATACAAAACATACTAAGTCAAAAACTGTCACAAGAGACAAAGAACACATTAACTAATGATAAAATGGTCACCAGGAAGATATAATAATTATAAATAAATATGTACCAAATACCACAGTACCCAAATACATGAAGCAAACACTGACAGAACAGAAAGGATAAATAGAGAGCAATACTATGAACACAAGAAATTTTAATGCACTACTTTCAGTAATGGATGCAACAACCAGATAGAGGCCAATAAAGGAACAGAGGACTTGAACAACACTAAAGACCAAAGGGACCTAACAGATATATACAGACACTCCACCCAAAGCGGTAGAATACACGTTCTTTTCAAGTACACCAGAACATTTGCCAGCATAGATCACATCATGTCACAAAACACATCTTGATAAATATAAAGTTGAAATTATACCAACTATCCTTTCTTATCTTAATGGAATAAAGCTAGAAATTAATAAGAGGAGGAAAATTGAAGAATTCCCAAACAGGTGGAAATTAAACAACACTCTCTCGAAGAACCAGTTCATCAAAGAAGAAATCAAAACAGAAACTAGAAAATATCTTGAGACAAATGAAAATGAAAACACAACATGCCAAAATTTATGGAATGCAGCAAAAGAGGGGATTCTATAGTGGAAACACTTACATTAAATAAAGAAGAAAGATGTCAAATAAACCACCTAATTTACACCTCAAAGAGTTAGAAAAAGAAGAATAAGCTTAATTCAAAGATAAGAGAAGGAAATAAATTATAAAGATTAGAGCAGAAATAAATGAAAAGAGAATAGGAAAACAATAGAAAAATGAACAAAACAGTTTTTTTTAAAAGATCAACAAAATTGACAAACCTTTAGCTACACCAAGAAGAGATAACTCAAATAAAATCAGAAATGAATTGAGGACACATTAGAACTAATTCCACAGAAATAAAATGACAAGAGACTAATATAATTAATTACACACCAACAAATTGTATAACCTAGAATAGGTTATAATTATAGACCAACAAATTTGATAACTTAGAATTAGAAAAACACAACCTACCAAAACTGAATCTTGAAGAAATATAAAATCTGAAGAGATTTTTAATTAGCAAGAAGTCTGAATCAGTAATGAAAACCTCTCAAACAAGAAAAGGCTACGACCAGAGGACTTCACTGGAGAATTTAACCAAATAGTTAAATAATTATTAATGTAAATCCTTTTCAAACAAAAACCTGAAGAGGAGGGAACACTTCTAAACTCATTTCACAAGGCCAGCATTACCCTGATATCAAAAACAAAGATACTACAATAAAAGAAAATTACAGGCCAATATCTCTGA